ATGAGTGTTTGGGGCTCTGCAAGATGCTCCAGGTGTGGTGCCTGAAGCCCAGGAAAAACTTCAAGAAGCCTGACATCTGCTCCACTGCAAAACAGAACATTTTTTTATATTCAGAAAGTCTGTAAGATGAGGTAAGTATTTGATGTACAGCCATAACATAAAACAGTGTTTCTCCATCAGCTGAGAAACCTCCCAAGAGAGGTGGGCTCTCCTTCAGCAGGCAGCTGATCAGCTCCCTCCTCTCACACCCAATGTATGCCACTCCAGGGCTGATGTGGGCACAGGTGAGTCCCTGTGTCACGGCAGAATCCTCCAGGTGTCAGGTGGACCCCAAGGACAGCACCAGGAACCAGACAGTTACTCCCTGCCTGTTTTTCAGAGGAATAAGAATGGCGACCTGGCATACCACAGGTGAGACTCAGTGGATGTACCAGAGGTGGAGTGTGGTATTTCTTGCTGGGTCCAACAGAGTCTCTGGACAGGAGGAAACGTGCAAATGAAGGGATGCAACATACAGATGAGTCTACTATCTCTGCAACATGCCAGAGATATGGCACCAGAGCAGTCCCTTCCAGCTCTCTTACTGCCACGCATTTTCCTTCCCCTGCCCTTCTAGAAGCACACCACCATGGGACTTGGATCCAAAAGTCCCAGATCTTCCAGCTTCTATAGATAAGGTCTTGGATGTTACTCTATTTTCTTCCATGTTCAAGAGGACATTATCAGAAAACAGTCCTATGCCCAATGTTTCCAGGTCCTGCACAACAGCAAAGATTGCTCACAATGCAGCGTCACCATGTGGAGCATTTTGCATCAGGTCTTTCTGCTGTTTCATCACAAGCCATCTCACACATACATGTAGGTTACAAGGATCTGGGAATGCTCTATGGTCTGGCACTGGGAAAAGGTGACGGAGGTTATGAAATCCATGCCTGCTGCACAGGAGTAATGAGGCAAGCAGAAAGGGCTATTTACTCACAGACACTGCCCTGCTGATCCCTGTTCCTGGATGTCAGAGCTGGTGTTGTCCAGCTCATTGGCAGGGGCTGGTGTGGTTTCATGACCACCCTGGTCCGCAGCCCTCATGGGAATCAGCATGTACACTGACTGGGAGCTCTTCTCTTGAGCTGCAGAAAAGATGTGTGAGGTTGACATGTCCTCAGTGAGATTTGGGATGACCCAGATCCTTAAGGTTGTCTCCAGGCTTAATGATCTGGTCTGTCTCTGAGTGATTAGGAGACCTTCCCTTTGTAACCTTAGGCCTTGAAAGGGCCTTGCAGGTAATGGCCTCATTTACCAGGTCCAAGCGTCCATGTGGACATGAGTTTTTCCTGCACATGATGTCAACCTCTCTGCTCCCCAGGCACAGTGTTAGAAGAGTCACTCCTAACATGAGAGGCTGCTTCATAGCATACTGCAAGAGGGTACTTAGGGCAGGATGTGAAGAACAGGAGAACCAGTGCTGAAGGATGATCAGTTCAGGCTGTGTGACAAGGCCATGGCTGAGTACATCTCCTCTCTCCACCTCCACTGATGAAGCCCTGACTTCAACACTAGCAAAATTAAAAAAGGCAGTCAACAGGATATTCAGGGGACCTACATAATGGTATTATTTCCAGTTTAATTCCTTTCTGGGCATGTCACTTGTGACGTGGGCACATGAATACAGTGGGAGATATCCTTCTGAAAAAGACATGTAAGAACAGTCATGATACTTCCCTCATTTTGTCAAGGAACATGATACTGGAAGCACCAATCAGAAGATGGAAATTCTGCTGAATTGTCCTACAGTCTACTCTGTCACACAGTGAACTGCTGGCCTTTTCACCATTAGATCATAAATGGAAGTAACATTTTAAACACTGACCTTATACTAACTAACCAGCATAAAGCACAAAGAGTTTGCATCATCTCTCTTTAGGTGAGTTTTGAAATAAATACAGCAGAAAATAACTTAATAATTCAACAAATCATCATATGACAGATTTAGACACATTTCTTTTCTAATGGATAAACACAGATACAACATAAAAATGCATTTGAAATGCATCATTCTCAAAAAAAAGAGACAAAATGGACTTAAGCTTTAGTAGAGCCTCTGTTCTTTGTTCTGGAAACTTCAGTGGAATTAAAAATTGTAAGTTTTATTTGAATTTATTTTTTAAAAAGGATGCTACAGGCAAGGCAATGGCTCTGGCTCTATGGCTTATTTTGCATAGTAGATTCCTAAATAATACATATTGAGCACATGCTGCTGCACTGTAGAGAATGTCAAAGCAGCAAAACAGCAGGAGGTTTTTGATTTTTTGGACAGGTGCTCTGGTAGATGGGCTTTTGGTATTCTCAAGGCACAACAAAGCAGACTGGCACTGTGGAAATAAAACACGTTAGTTGAATGTTCCTGCTAAAGCTACAAGAAGGATATTTCAGCAGACCCTTCTCAGTTGTAAGAAGCTCAGATGAAAGGATCTCTTCTCATATATCCAGTTCCAGGGAGAAACATAACCTGCATTCTCCATCTTTTCTTTGTGAACCATAAGACTAAAACCTAGTTTTAAACTAGACTTTAGTTTTTGGTCCGTAACTCTGTGCTAAGGGCTGAAATCTCTGCCTGGGGAATCAAAGCTCCTACTGCAGAAGCTGCTCCTTCTTCTCCCTGCAGGACTGGTTATCTTTGCAACCACCACCACCACCCCCAACCCAGTCCAGTTCAAAGGCCTCAGAATAGTCTTGTGTGATTCCATGACAGTCAACAAACTTAATTCCTAATTGCTACCTGCACCAGGTAGTAATTGATTCACACTGCTTTCTTCAAGTGGAGTTAAAATTTTAAGTATATTATATTGCACACATTGAATCTTAACATAGTATGTGGCTAAGGTTTAATGTCACTATGTAAGTGAAAAATAAGTGGAAGTGTAGTGGTGCTGCTACCAAGGCATAGTCAGCACAGTCCTAAGCTCTCTGTTCTGTCATAGCTGTGCACAAGACACTGTGCAGTGCTCTCACAAATTGTCAGGGCCCTGAGGACATTAATAGGTCTTAATGGCTCTGACCAGCATCACCTGGTACCTCCACCCCCACCCAAGGGTCCAGGAGCCCCATTTCAGCTCAGCCCTGGGCACCGGGTCCCCGCCCAAGCTGTGCTGGGGGAGTGCTGGTCCCCAACTCAGCCACAGATGATATTGGCTTGAACCAAAAATGTGAAGAAGCATGGTTGTCAATTCCTTATCTGCTCCCTTTCCAAAAAGGTCTCTGAAAACAGAGAAACCAGTAATTTTTTCCTGATTGCACTTTCACTGTCAGTGATAAATTAAGGCTATTTTTTTTCTTTCTGATTAGTCAAAGTTCACAGGAACTAAATGAACATTTTAAAATAGAAACAGCGTAATGACATTTTAGCAACTTTCAAAAATTAAAACTTAGGTATATTATTTCATGAAAATGTAATACTACCCCAGCACTTTATTTCGAAACCACGCAGAGTGTCTGTTATCCTGAGTATTTGAATATATACTATGTTAAAATATGCATAATTAAATGATACCATAGGACAATTGCCATGCAACTTCATCCTGGTAATGAACAATAAAGAGAAATCTGCAGCTGCACTAATGGGAAGAGCCAGTTCCCCCTGGATATACTTCAAGACACCTTATTTTCAACGTTGGATCTTACTTGGATATCTGCCTTACAATGAGGATGAATTGCACTGTTTTTTCTTATTACCTAGACAGGAGTCAGGGAAGCTAGCCCAGAAAGAGATTTCTCTTCTTTAGGCATCTACATTTGAACAAATGAATCTCATTACAGTCAAAGAAAAAAATAAAATAAAAAAATCAGACTCAGACAATTGACATATAGTTTAAAACTCTAAAGACTTGCTGTACTGCTTTAGAGTCTTATAGGTCTTGGAACAAATTCTATTAGCAGTAATTTAAAATGCACTAGCAGATCACTGATGCAAACGTCAGGTCTGCCACTGATCCCAGCAGCAATCCCTTAGAAACACCAGCTTTCCCACTGATAATCATTTTATAAGATTGTTTTTTGTTTTTTTTTTTTCAGGTCTAATTCATATAGTATCTGCTCTACTCATACTGGGAGCTAATATATGACTCCAAATGTCAAGCAACTGCAAATACTACACAGCTACATAGCATAGTTGCTCTATGCTACATTTATTAAGTAACCTCTCTGTCAAACTTGTACTTTCCTCAAAGAATTAATTCAGGGATGTTTGACAAAACCTGTTTTCCACGGGCTGCCACAGTCTGTAACCATCAGCATCTTCCAGCTCAGCCTCCCCTCGACTGTGGCTCCTAGAACCTGCATTTCCCTCTGCTCCCAGAGTCTCCTTCAGCCAATAATACTCTGAAGGTCCCTGTCCTCACACCCTGGTATCCATGATCCCATCACATGGTACCACATCAACTCCAGCCCCTCGGTTTTCTCCCATAATCCCTCTGCCTCCTTTTCTCTCTTCTCCGTGAGCCCCTATCTTTTTGGCACATGTTGTACAATAATGTTCAGCTGGAGATTAAAAGAAGTGTCCCCTAAACAGATCCAAACTTTTTTCCTGCCTTCTACACATGGAGAAAAAAAAATAAGTGCATACTTTTTACCTTTCCTTGATGTTCCATGTTCTTCACATTCTTCCCCTCTATTTGCACTGGCTGTTCCTAACAGACAAACCTTGGGCACAGCAATTGCCTGTTCTTCCCTTTCTAGTGTTCCTTGATATTGGGGACATAGTGAGGGCTGGAGCAGCAGTGAGATCACAGAGGTTTGGTTATCTTGACTTGTGCAAAGATATTGCCACTGGGACAGTCATCTGATATTTGGTTGTGGATCAAGGGCCTTAAATGGTTTCCCATTCAGCTATGGCAGGAAATCCAGCCCACCACCTGCAAGCATTATGGGGGCTTCCTGTCTGTGGCTGTAAAAGACTCAATAGAGTTGAGCTCAGTGTAAATAGACAAGTGGATAGTGTTGCTCACCATAGATTTTCTGAATTCCTTGGAGGTCATCCTGGGGCAGTTTGAAGTTGTGTGTTTCCATGTACTGGTAGAAAGGAGCCATGATAGCACTGGGATCATTGGAGTGTTCCAGACCCAGTGCATGTCCCAGCTCATGGACTGCAACCAGAAAGAGATCATTCCCTGTGGAAGGAAGGCACAGGCATGTTAGTACACAGCCACAGCCTGACGCAATCCCAAGCCCCACTTACTCATAAAGCAGGAAGCAAATGCTTTGCTATCCTATTGCACAGCAGGTCAATGCCAGGGTCAGCTCCTGGAGATGGTTTTAGTCCTGATAGTCTGTGCAGCTTTTGCAGTCATTGTCACAGAATGGGCTCCTAGCCCGTTACCACCCAGGGCGATGAGAACTCTCAAACCAGGTAAAACAGGCAGCTGCCTGGAGTGAAATGATACTGACTGTAGATTCCTTTGTAGAGAGTTTACAGAAAATGACCAACAAAATAGGCTGCTCTGATACCATTACTTCCTTATCTGAGTGCTGCCAGGAGAGGTGAGAGCACTGCCAGTTTGCTAATCAACAAGGGTACATGGTGGGAAGGGATCTTTGTCCCCTTCTGGGTCCTCTGGTGCTGTGATGATCTGACCTGGATCACCAAATCCTAGGGGAGATCTGTAAGGCACCTGGCAAGGCAGGAGGAAGGACAGAGAAGACCACAGCTAACACCCACCATAGCACATGTAGTACCTGGGACAACCCCATCTCCTCTAGCACAGACTCCACAACATGCTTTTACTTTGCTGGACTCCTGGAACTGCCATGTCTGCGGGAGGAGGTTAGCACAGGTAGCACCATCCTGCAGGAGGGAGAGCCACATAGGGAAAGGTTGGGTGGGATCCCAATAGCAGGGAGGGAGAAGGAGGAAGGAGGAAAGAAGGAACATGCTCCTAGCAGGAAGAGAAAGGGCTGAGGAGCCCTGACTTGTTGAAGCTGGTAGGAGTGAAAAGTAGGGGTACCTTCAACTCCGTTAGAGGCATACACTCCTCTTCAGTCCCATGGATCTGGGACCCTTATCTCCTTGATCTAGTGTGGTCCCTGGATGTCCTACTTGGTGAGGGCATCTTGACATGGGAGGTGGCACAGGCCATGTTGTGTGAGGGATTAAGACGCAGCCAACAAGGACAGATGTTAAGAGTCTCCCCATGCCAATAAAATGACATGAGCCCTCAATTCTGCCTGAATTTGGCTTCTCTGCTTTTTTTGTGAAGGTGCAAACCAAGAGCGCTTGCAAGCAGACATGGGAGAAAACAGTTGCCAGTGGCATCTCAGTGACTCCTTTGAGGTATCTTCAAACAGTGTATCTCTGTTCTCCATACCTCCAAACTGCACCTATCTTTGAGGTAACAAAATTCAGTTTTGTGTACACAGCTGAGCTCTCCTTGGGACAGGAGTTGCAACAGTGATTCTTGTAGAACTATCTCTACTTTTTAAATACTTATTGCTTTGCTGTTACCCATAAAAATGTGACATCATAGGTTCAGGGGTCTGCAAGTCTTCACAGTAGGGTGCTCTGCCAGCATATCAAGACATCTAAAGTCAGTAACAGTGCTCAACATGTCATACATACCACACCAAAATGGTTAAATTGTCTAAACATTTGAGTTGGAGGGCATAAGCACCTGAATATACAAGGCATGTTAAAATATCCCAAATGCATTTCAAGTAAGTATTTAAATACATTTGTTCAAATACAAATGTCCCAAAACATACATGGGCTAAAATTTAGCCATATATGTATTTAAAATTCCAGAATTTCTGTATTCAGGAAATCCAAATGGGGACTTAATAATTTTCTCTCATCTGTTCCTGAAAAATCTGGTGTGTGCAGAACAAGTCAATAAAATGTCCAACAGCAGAGTATAAAATATATTAAGTAGTTTCATGGTAAGGTTTGGAGGACTGATTATCCATGGGTTTTCAAAAACACTCAAGCTTAGAAGATGCACTCAGTTTTCAAAAGGTATTCACAGACACAAAGTCCTGTTGAAAATTAAATGGACTTACTCTCCTATATCACTTAAATGCTCATGAAATCATAGTTTTCAGTGCTACCACAACTACTCACACAGGGAAGTCCATGATAAGAGTCACTCAGTACAGACTTGACTTTCATAAGACTCTTCTCATGAAGTCACCTCTGTACTGAGTGACTTTACCACAGGCTCATGGGCTGTGCCCATGCTAAGTGCTTGAAGACTTTTTCCCTCACCAATTTGGTGGCATTTTCTTCCTTGCTTAAGTATCCAAAGAGCCTTTGTACTGACAGCGTGTCTAGAACTTGTCTCTATGCAAGTCTACATATAAATCTGTTAAGTTACTTCCTTCTATTTGCTAAACCTTTATCAGGAGCATAAGATCAGATACTATCTTAATTTAAATCAGTTTTAAATAGCCTTCAATCACTTGTTTCTGCCCAAAAGAAATGCCAGCCCACTTTACAGCTGGAAAACAGAATCACACAGACTCACAGAATGGTTGTGATTGGAAGGCACCTCTGGAGATTGCCTAGTCCAACCCACCAGCTCAAGCAAAGTCAAGTAAAGCAGGCTGTCCAGGACTGTGTCCAGTCAGGCTTTGAATTTCAAGTTTCTTGTATTGGGAGGCCCTGTACATGGCACTCCAGATGTTTTGAGTAGAAAGGAAGGATCATCTCTCTTGACCTGCTGGCAATGCTCTTCCTAATGCAGCCCTGGATGCTGTTGGCCTTCTGTGCTGCAAGAGCACACTGCTGACTCATGTTCAACTTTGTTGTCAACCAGGACCCCCAGGTCCTACTCTGCAAAGCTGCTTTATGGTCTGTTGGTCAAGAACAAAGCCTACGTGCAAGGTTTTGCATTTCTCTTTGCTCAGCTTCATTAGATTCCTGCCAGCCCATTTCTCCAGCCTCTCCAGGTCTCTCTCAATGACAGCATCACTATTTAGTATAACACTCACTCTAAATTTCTGATCACCCTCGAACTTGCTGTGGGTGCACTCTGATGCATCACTGAGGTCATGCATGAAGTTATTAAACAGTATGGACCTCAGTATCAACCCCTCTGACACACAGGCTGAATTCCACCATCTCATGGTTACTGTAGCCAAGGATGCTACTGATCTTCACACTACCCACCAGTTCTTCCTTTTTAAGTATTCGGTCCAGCAGATCACATATCTTTGTTGGTTCCTTAATCACTAGTGAGACAACTTGGAGGAGTTCTGAGATGATCAGCAAGCCCAGAAAGACGAAGGCTTGTACCTGAGGAAGTAGGTCAACAACCATGGTGGTCAGGCTGACCATCTCTTCAACTGTTGAACAGAAACATACCTTTTCCTAGTTATCCTTATGAAATAATTATACTTGGAAATACAGACAACAGTGGAAAACAGCTGCTGCTGTCCAGTTTTAAAACACCATTTTGACTGACAACGGTGTGTGAGGACGACACAGAGCATGAAAAATTTTGGCTGAAGAGCTCTGCTTCCTTGCATCTAGAGTTAATGGACTCACTAAGAAATGAACCTTTCCACTTCTAGCACAGACCCAGAGGACAGGTCAACACTGAAGGAGAAAAGTTTCTAAGGGAAGATACACTGCTAGGAGGCCACTCAAACTAGAGTAGCAATATGCTCGGATGTGGTGGCTGGAGCAGATGAAGTGGAGCTAGAGAATTTCTAGGGAATGAAGTGACTTCCACATAAAGTAGGACAAGAAGCTCCTCTTGGTTCTCAACAAATACTGCTGTGGTTGTTTCTCGTCTCAAAGCCTTTGCTGAAAGGCAGTAGGATAGCACTGGCAGACACAGCTCCCTCTCTTCTCTCTGCTCTGGCCAAAGATTCCTCACCACTGTTTCATCCCCTCGCCTTTCTTTTTTTTTCTAGGCTCTTCCTAGACACATCCATAGTTCTCTTCCAGCATGCCCATGTCATCTGCCTTCTCCACACTGCTATAGTCTATAAGAGAGTCCCAAGTCTGAAAGCAGCTAAGTCGTTCTCAGAGGGCAAGTGGACAGCATGAATTTTGTGGGAAGAAGAAACAGGAGAAAAAAGTCTAAGACCATTTTGTTAGCAGAGTGTTCAAAAACCCAGCTCTAGATTCAGCATCCTACTTCTCTTGAGGGGTCAGTTTATATCCATAACATTGTTAAGCAAGAAGTTCTCTTTGTTTTTGTAAATGGCAGGGAGTTTCATAGCATAGAAGAGAACACATTGTCAATTTTCTTTTCAGAGGGTAAACTAGGATTTGCTATGAAAATAAAATATCAAGGCATTGATATTTTCTGACAGCGTATTTATCTCCTCCCACAGCCCTTAGCTTGGAGCTGTGATGGCTCTTTGTGTACTGTTACCCACTGCTGTTTGGCTGCCATTTGGAAACTGTCCACACTCAGCTGATCTGCAGGAGTCTTCAAAGGAGCCTGCAACACTCAAATCGTTTCTGTTAATTCCTGAACATGCAGCAAGGTCTCTGACGTTCATGTGCTCCACAGTTCTTGTCCAAACAGCACTCTTAATGTTCATCTTCTTGGAACAAGATTCAGAAGGAAGAACTAAGTCTGGCTTGATAATTTGCTACTCTTACAACATAAAGAGTGTTCAAGCAATCGGATAAAGCTCCTTAATTTCCTGTTCAACCTTCTCCCCCAAGACCAAGACTAAGCACAACTTGTATTCAGTGTATACCAGCCATGTGGGTAAGACAGTTGGGTGAAGAAGGAACTGACTACCCTTGCTTTGTATTTGCAGGGAAAGGTCCCAAGAGAAATCCAACAATTTTTGCTTATTTGCACCATCTGTACTAAAACATGCCTGAGCTTTCTCCTTCCCAATTCTCAGGAGGCATCCAAAAGTTCACCAATAAGCATCGGAGAGAGGATGACCTGTAAAACTGGGGGTAGTTTTGTAAGTTAGTTCATTGAATGAAACAGTTTGACCTATGCTAAAACATAAACACAGTTAATTTAGCTTTAAAATTGCTGATGTGTTGTCCTTACCAAAATAATGTTATCACCAGAGAAAGTTATAATTGAGAACACACCTTAACAATATAAAAGCATTGCCATTATCATGATGTCAAATCAGGTAAACACACTGCTTATCTTACATTCAGTTTCATAGCTCTATACTCCCCCTGCACACACCA